GCAAAACAGAGAAAGTCTCAAGCGTTGGGGGTTTGAGGATATTGCTTCTAACTGCAGGAAAGCAGTTAGCTCAACCAATACTGTCTGCCCTGTGGGATGGTGAAAACGAAATGTTGCATTGCATTGAGCCAATTTCAGATTGTTTTCCATGATTATCTGGGTATATGAAGAATGACGGTGTGTGTTCCTTTTCTTTTTTTTTTTTCTTTTTTTTTTGTGTGTGTGTGTGTGTGTGTGTGCATCTGGACAGGAAAGCACAGCAGAATCGGCGAGGATTTTCAGAAGAGCAGCTTCGCCAGGGACAGAATGTCATAGGCCTTCAGATGGGCAGCAACAAAGGAGCGTCACAGTCGGGCATGACAGGCTATGGGATGCCGAGGCAAATCATCTAAAAGCATCTGTCTGTAGAGAAAACACTCCTGCAGCATGGTCTGTTTAAGAAAAAGAAAAGAAAAAAAGAAAAAAAAAGCTCATTAGGTTCTTCTCTGCCTGTTTTTTTAATAGTTAGTGCACTCTAAGATTTGGCATATTTTTGGTTTGGTTTGCATTTTCTTGCAGCTGCAGCTGTTCATCTAAGAACACGGGTTTTCATGGTGGTGTGTGTCATTTCACAGCATGTGTGCACTGCTGCCTCCTCTTCTTCACTTCTGAACTATGCAAAGACAATTATTCTGTATTAATTTATTTGAAAACTGTTATCTTCCATATTTGTCTCACACCACTCTTATATCGCAACCAGTAACCTCGTTCTTCAATTCAGTGATGATATTGTTTGACCTAAGAATAAAGACAAATTAAAACCACCTCTTAGACTCATTCTTTAAAGGAGCAGTTGAAACCAACTAACACATGGTACAGTCCTGAGGAGCTAAATGTTTTGATTGATCCATCTGTCTCATCTCTAACCCAGAGCGTTCTTTGAGTGGTTTCTTGCTATCGTGTTGACAGCCTGTGTTATATACTTAATTCAACATTGCCAAAGGCACACCCAAATTCTCCTAAAAATATTTTCCTAAAGAGAGAAAAGTTCCGTTATCCTGAATCTGTTTTGTTTGATCTTATCCAGTTTTTCTCAGACGTGATTTGCACCAAATCTTGAAATTTGATGAATTTTCCTGAATGCAAACCTTACATCTTGATCACGAAACAAAAGTAAGAACGGGATTTGCCTTGTGATAGTTGATATTATGTCAAGGAAATTGCAAACCAAGGGGTTTAAATGCAGAGAAAGAAATAAAAGTGCCAGAATGTTTTTGACTTTAAAAACACCTGCAGTTCAAGTTTGAAGAATGCATTATGCCTGCCTGGGAGTGTCTTTGCAAGATTCATTTCAGTGTAGACTGAAGGGACAATTCAGGATAAGCACTGTCCTCCCTAGAGAAACATAGGAATAATACCTACAGGAAGCATTGTGGCTCCTAGGAAGCGAGAAGTGATGCAAAGCTTGGCACCGAGCTAATGTTATAGCAGCTGCTGCTGAGAGGGTCCTGCCCTACTTGTACCTCCTCTTGCATCCGCCAGGGCATTTTGGCCCTTCCACTGTGCTCCTGTCAAACACTGTTTATTTTTCAGTTGTTTCACCGTAATACCTGTTTAGGGTTATTTTTTGTTATTTTGTGAGGTGGAATAGCTCAGCAGAGAATTGCATGAGCACTTGAGATGGTACATGGGGAAATGAGCACCTGGGAGTAGGAACTCCCTTTCAGATACAGTGGGAAGTCAGCTCAATGCGGGGTAGAACATTTAACTTCTCCCATATGTTACAGCAGGCACACCTTGAAGTGGATAGCAGGGAGGCTGCTGTCATCATCCTTCAGTAAAAACTGGAAAATCACAGCCATAGCAGTCAAAGCAGCGCCTCTTGTTAGTAACTGGATGAGAGGAAGAACTGACTTGTGGTTGAGAGGTCTGAAAGCCTCGCAGCTCCTCTGCTGTACACCACCTGTGTGGGGACACAAAGCGGGTGCCAGTCTGCCCTAGGTGACCTGCCTCTCTTGCCTCCCTTTGGCTAAAGAGCTATTCACCGTGTCCTTTTTTTTCTGGAAAGACCATTTTTATGTGTGACATGGTAAATGCATTCATGAGGCATGTCGCGGTTTTCCCCATCCTTGATTGCCACAGCGGAGCACCACCCGGCCCTCTTGTTAGTGTGTCCTTCCCTGAGCTTGTAGCCAACAGAGGAGACCAGGGCAAGCTCAGCTTCTGGACTGAGGAAGGGGATTTTCAGCGGGGTGGCTGAAGCACCTGGCACAGAGGACAGGCCTATTGAGCAGAGCAGTGTCCATCTCACCAGGTACTCTGCCTTTGGCAAGAGGAGAGGCTACGCAGGGAGATGGCACAAACCTGGCCGCTTTCTGCAGCCCCCTTCCTTCATTCTCCAAGCATCTTCTGGGATTATTGTAAAATGGCACATCCCAGCAAAAGAAGGGCCATGTCTCAGGTAAACAGTCTTTCATTAAAACTACGTTTCTGAAATAAATGTGTTTTCACTAGATTTTTGGCATTCTCAGTCAGAACTGCCTCACTAAAGCTACTACAGAAAATACTGTATACTTGTAAATACACAGCAAGTTTAAGAAGCCATATTAACAACAGCTAAGCATTGTGAGAAAGAAAATCTTAACCTTTGGCTGCAGCCTCAGGGCCCATTCAGCATGGGAACAAGAAGAACAAAAAAGACAGATACTCAGAATCTCACCTCTGGTAAGCTCCACCACCAAGGCCACAACATAGCCTTTTATTACCTTAAACCATCAAGTTAATATAGCTATTTACATTTGGCAGATAGATGCTCCAAATTATACTTTATTCAGTGGATTAACCTTATCTGTCAATATTCTTATATTACAAGCTTAGAAATAACAACTTCGCAAACACCTCGAAACAGACTCCAGATCACCAATGTCCCTCTATTATAAGATCTTTTTTACCAAATCTACAAATATCTTAAGCTAAGTAGTAAGTTAATATACCGCAAGACTAATTTAGTAACAAGCTTGTCAGAAAAGATTCTACATTTCCTTATATTGAGGACCAGCCACAGTAAGCTTACTTCTATTACCTGAAATACACTCATGCAGGTCTCCGCAAAGCTTAATTGATTTCTATTATAACCTCCTGCATTGTTACCACTAGAAACCTTAATGCACATTCTAAATGTGCTCAAAGTGTCGACAGAAGGGGTGCACTCAACAAATGCTGAGCTGCCTACATTTGAGAGGTTAGAATTATGCTCATATTCAGCAATCAATAAACTACGCTCCGCGTTGTGGGAGAGCTACAAACATGAAGTAAACACAAACCTCTCCACAAAGAGGGTAAGAGAAGCACAAGAGCTTTGAACATATATTGGGGGTATGGTATAAAAATGTGGGATTCTTTGTTTGGTTGTTGAGTGAGGGACTATGATTCTCTCTCCTGCTTGGTATTGGGGTCTCTGTGGCCTCCTTATAGTTCAAAAGCTAAGGTATGTTCCCTCACACATTGTCTATAGCTCTTCATGGAGGCTGGCTGTAACCGGGATTGGAAAACTATCCAGGCTTTTTCTTTTTTTAGTTTCTTTCTTTCTTTTTTTTTTTTTAAATGCATTTTGGGAGCAATGCTTTTAAATACCACACCACCTCCATGCCAAGCAGCTGCATGAGGGAAAGCACCATAGCAGATGGATCAGAAGCACCTTAAACATTGCCTCCCCAGTACTTCAGTGTTCCTCACCTGCAGAACTCACATAAACGGCATCTATCTGCTTTCATGAAGGTTTTAGGACCATGACCCACCTCATTATGCAAAATTACTCAATAATTTCTTTCTAACAGTAAGGTAGCATCTAACGGCCTTCCAAAAGTGTGGTAGGCAGGTGTGTGAGTGATGAGGGGAACAAACCGCACACGTGAGTGCCTCAGGCGCGTAGCACCCCTGTACACACACACGGTAGGAAGGGCCTAGGAGAACGTGCTGCTAAGAGCCATAGGAGCTGGGAGGCCCTTCCTTCCCACCCTGGAGCTGGCCTTGCGGGATGGCCTCCCTGCAGGCGCAGCTGAACAGATAAAGACAACTTGGTTTTCTAAATGCTTAGAGCAAACAGGCGTGCCATGAAGGAAGGAGAGGGCTCAGTGTATCGGTGTTTTATTTCCATGTCTGTAATTGATTGCAGTTGACTCTGACTGCGGTGTCCCACTTTGCTGACTCACTGTCTCTTGCATGTAAAGTGCAGCTAGTACTCACTTAACAGCAGTGGTTTGGACCAGCTCAGACAGTTAACAGGATCAGTGACATGGTAACTCCTCCTAATGAGAAAGGGGCTTTAAACACATTGAGAAGGGCCACATTGAGAAGGGCCGTGGAGAAGGGATGAACAAAATGCTGCCACTTGTTGTAAGCCTCTTCTGTCTCTGCCATGGTAATTTCTGACATGGTGATTTCTGAGAGTGCAGATATGGAGTGAGGGGCATCCAGGTGGAAGGTGAGCACATGTATATAGGGCCGCTCCAGCTACCCAGCCTTCTTTACACCTACTAATAGAAACATAAATTTATGTAGTAGCCTACATAAGCTACTAAAACAGTCTGTGGCATCTCTTTCTTCTAAGATGTTCTTAAAATATACAGGAAGAGGAACCGAGAGTTTTGCCTGCATTCATGTTTTGGGCACAACATACTGTTAAGAGGAAATCTATTTTTTTCCCTCTCTATAAAGCTTGCTATTCTCAAGAAATGTCAAGTTTTATGGGAACAAAGGCAGCAGAAGGAACTACTGGGAAAACATGCACACGCAACCACCCCTCTTCCCCTCCTCTTCCAACTGTATTTACTTATTTAAATTTCCCTGAGATTATTCCTCCCAACCAGTTCCTCAGAATAAAAGCACCACAGTTAGTTCTGTGACTAACCTCGAGCAAGGGGAGCCCACAAGGTAAAGTTAAGAAAGAAAATGAGACACTAACTATTATAGGAAGGGGAAAATCACAGCCTTGAGAGGGAAGTAATTTTTCTGCTCTCATCTCCCAATGTTCATGTGACAGCACAGTGCATGAAGCAGTGACATTCAAGTAAAGCTATAATGTCGTTTCTCAGAAGCATAAATAAATGTGTCTGTAGTCCTATTGGATTTATAAAAGATATTAGAGAGGTGACCTTTGTGCCTAATGAAATTTCTGTCAAATGGCTCACTGATAGAAATGTGACCCTCAGGAGTGACTCCTGTGCTCTGCAGAGTCACTGCTCCTCAGACCTCACGGCAAAGCTGAGGCTTATGTTTACACCTGTTGGGGTTCAGAAATGCAGGAGCAGGTCCCTGCTCTGCTCTGAGATGCTGCGGGGCCAAGGGAGAGCAGGGCTGAGGGAAGGAGCAGGTGCTGCCGGACATGCAGCTTTGGGGGCTAACACAGCGCTGCGTGTCTGAGACAGACCGATGAGCACCGGGCACAGCAAAACCACCTCTTGGTAAAGGGCTTGTGCCAGGGGAGCTTCGGATTAGATATTAGGAAAACTTGAGTGGTGAAGCACTGGAACAGGCTGCCAAGGGAAGCGCTGGAGTCACCGCCCCTGACAGTGTTCAAGAAACGTGCAGATGAGGTGCGCAGGGACGTGGTTTAGAAGACACGATGGTGATGGGTTTACAGTCAGATTCAATGATCTTGAAGGTTTTTCCCAACCATAATGAATCTATGATTCTACGATCTGGTTAATAAAGATGCAACGTGGAAGAAAGCTTCTGTATTCGCACAATCAGCTAAGCATCCGGCTTCTCTTTTTTCTTGCTGAGGTCTTGAAAAAAAGAAGAAAAAAAAATGCACAGAATTATT